CAGGAGTAAATTTGTATAGTAATAAGATAAACTATATGTACCACTTTTTAACTCTGCTCTTTCCAGCATATCTTACGTTGATACATCTACTTATTTCTCCTTTGGATATATTAACAGAATTGTTGTCCATTCAAGTTATCAGTAGTTTAGTAATGAAAACTAAATGAAGCAATAGCAAACATGTGACTGCTTGCACTGAAGTGCAGCAAGATTTGTTACAATTTACTGCATATGCAAGTTTTGCTGTATTCTCAAAAATCTAATAATTTTCTAAATTATCAAGTTTCTACTCTCTATTAATTTCAGTTTTAGTGAAGAGAGACCTTTTCTTTCAAGCAATGGAGTAGTCAAGTGGTCAAGTTAAAAACACTAACACTTTGCCTGTGTATGAAGATTTCATAGACTTGTATGGAGATTGCAGTGATTTCTTGTTTAAAGCCAAATCCAGTGATACAGACTACAGAGGCAAAAGAGCTTCTAATTCTTCCATCAGGAGTGTATGAGAGACCTCTCTGCTCTCTGAGCACAGAAAGCAAAAGCAGCTTCCTAAAATTCAGATGTGATCAGAACCTTCAAGTTCTCCTCCACTTCTGCAGGTACCTCATGACAGCTCCTTTTCAGGCTCCATGGTTCAAGGCACTGATGTTGCTTTTTCTCTAAACTCTTTCACAAAGCCTTCAGTAACCAATCAAGTTTAGAGTTGCTGTGGTTATGTTGATAACATCGCACAGTACATTTCCATTTCCAAACTGAACAGTCTTAATATTTAAAATCAACTTTGGGACCAAGTATTTTCCAGTTAATGTAGAAGCTGCTTTCCAGAAACAATTTTTATAGTGCATTTGCAAATTCTTGTTCCTGAAATTGTCCTTCTTACTAAACCCATTTACCAAGAGCAAAAATAGCAGTAACCAGTAGATGTGTAGGGAAAGAGCATCAGGCACCTATCTGGAGAGCAATTTTTCTACTAGTATATCCTTCTACCCTCCAGCAACCAGTAGCAGAGGGACCTTTCCTCCTTGAACAAGTTTATATTCGTCTGTTCTTTTGTTCAGAACAGAATGCCCTCTTTTTCAGATCATCTGCTCCACAGTACAGATCCTCATAACTCCTATTTTGAAAACAAGGACTCTTTCTTTCCCAGCATAACTTCCAGTTAATAGCATTGGAAAAGTGTTCTATTGACATAAAGATAGTACAACATGCATACTTAATTGCTTTCTGGATTTCAAAAAAAAAGAGCTTTATTTTTTTCTAAAAATTGTATCATATGCTTATCCATTCTCTCTTATTCATTCACACTGCAATCACGGTTTCCTTCAAATAGGCTCTAGAATGACTTTTTATGCAGATCCCTCTGGATTCTCTTTTGAAAAATAGCATTCAACATGTGCCACACCTATTCTTCCTGTGCTAAGGCCACTATAAGTGATAAGCTATACATCAAAACTGGTTGGTTGGCAATTTCTTGTCTAAGTTCCTTTGAAATACCTGGGAGAATATAATCTGGTCTTTATATTTGTCACAGTTCATTTATGAATTTCTTATAAAGTACCTTCTATTGACACTAAATTTGAATTCATGGGACTTACTTCCCACCAGAAAAACCTCCAGGATAAGAACTTCACAAACTTTTCCATTGCAAAGAATTATCTTATGCCTATTTTAGACACACTCCTCTTTCAGTGTGTTTGAAAAAAGGTTTTATTATTATTTCTTATGTTCTTAGAAAGTTGATCTTCAAAATATTTTTGGGCTTGCTTTATCACAACTTTATATTTTATTTTGTAATTGCTTATTGCTCATGCTTATTTCTTATTCTCAACTTACTGTCTATTGTAGAACTTTTTTCTGTTGTTTCACTAGGCATTAAAAAGACCACAGTTTTTGTAGCGTATCACCAGCCCTGGCAGAACTTTGTATGGATTACTACTGAAAGCTTAGCTGCAAAGCAGTGAACTTGTAACTGCTGTGGGTGAGATTTGCCTGATATATACATCACGCAACACAAGCATGCATGGGCTCACTAACTTCGGTTTCCTACACTGAAGTTCTTTCCCAGCAGCATTAATGGGAACTCGGCAGTGCTGTGCTGAATATTTATCAGCAACTTCAGGCCTGAGCATGTTCCTTCCCTTGCAAATCACATCAGCCAAAGCGGAATACTTTGTACTGTGCCTTTCTTTAAATCTTCCCTCTTAATGTACATTGCTTTTGGGGCATGATTACATTTGTACTGTTCTCTCAGGTAGGAGAGGGTTTTATTCAGAAAAAGCCACCTAAATCCTTTTCCTTTTAGGAACAGTCCTAAAGACAGTGAGCAGCACTATCCAAACTTCAAGGTCAGATGGCAGCAGTATAACAAGGTCAGCAGTTATGATAGAAAATACAGTTGCCTCGACACCCATGACTGATTGGTTACATTTGACAGCTCTCTGCTTTGTGACAGTGTTAAAGACAGTGGGTGCGAAATTTAGCTTCAGTCACTCCAGCCTCTGTTACAGCTTTCTCTAATGTGCCATGGCAGAGAGGCTGAGACAGCCGAATGCTACTGAAACTTGAAAGGACCCAATATTAAAGAAGACATAACAGGAACGGTTCTCATTTTGCAGTGACCGGTCTTCCTCTCTCTTCACACAGTACATCTGAAGCAGCAGTGGTGGCTGGTGCTTAGTTCAGCAGAAAAAGCACCTGTCACACTTCACAGGTACTTCTGAGCTGTGATCAGCTCAGGGAAATCTGCCTGGAGTGTTCCCTCAGATGATCAGCAAAAAAGTGGCTGTTTAATGATGGAAGCCTTCTAGTTAAGGTAGAGAGATCTAGGCCTAGAAATAAATTTAAGCAAAAGAACTGCTTAATTATCACACACACTTTACAAATGATCTCACTTAAAGACAAAAGAATTTAAGTGAGTGGTCTGACAGCAAAAACTGTTTATAGAAATAGGTAGAAGATACCAGCAGACCCAGGTTGCGAGTCCTCTGCTGTAACCAGTTCACTGTGACATATTCACGTTGTCCCTGTCAAAAACTAATACTCTCTGCAACCAAAAGAGATGCAGAAGTAAAAGGGTAAGTCACTCAATGATTTTAGACACGCCTGTCCTTGGGGACTGAGACCACAGAGATTATGGCAGCTGCCTTCCAGATGCTGACAGCACAGAACGAGAAGGATGATTTAACCTGAAAGCCTTATAAAAGCAAAGAATGTCAGGGTAAAGATAATGCTGTTGTACACAGAAATACTGGTGCAGACTTTTACAGCCAGTTAGAAATTTCCGATGCAAAGTCCCATTAAAATAAATGGAAGTGAATATCCAAATCCACACACATCTTTGAAAAACTCAGCTCTTTCATCTCATATGCTTCCAAATCCAGATTTATGCTCTCTAAAACCCGCCAATAACTAAAATTAGCAGAAGAAAGCTTTTACTGTGCATACAAGATAATTTCATCAGACTCTAGAGGTAAGAATTTTAAGTTAACTACAGGTACCACTCCTTGTCCTTGAAGGCATTGAACAAATCCACTGGCCACCACTTCTTAGATTTTCTGGTCTGTCTCACAGTCTTCTCTAGTCATTTTTACTGATACATATTTATTAAAACTAGAGGACTGAAGATAGCTATCATTGTCTATTTATGGAGGTATGTGTACACATCTTTTTGCTACAGAAAACAGAAGACAGAAACATTAAGCTTTAATAAAAGTGATATAAGCTAATGGCCACTGCAACTCAGCTGACATGTAGTAACTTCTCAAGCAACAGTAATTCAAATCTGTGGGAACCCCGGGGTTTCCAGAACTACCTTCTCACTTATTTTCAGTCGCAAACACACAAAACTGTACAGATATTATCTGAAGCTTGACACATACAATTCCTAAACAAGCACTTCATAAGGAACCTCAGAAGTCAGATACTCACTGATTTGGTTGGTAGATGCACTATAAAAAGCATTTACAGTAGTTGGGCTTGTAAACCACCTGTAGTAAGAGCAAAAGAAATAGGCTGTCAGTGCACTTACAAAACTTTATGAACAGAATGAGAAAATGTAGAGTGAACTCAGTGAAAAGGAAGCAAAATATCAAGGACAGGCTTCATTAAAGTATTTCTCCATTCCAACATGTTACCTAGATGCTTTCTGGAGCATTGAAATCTATTGTTTAATGGCTTTATTTTAAGTGCAATGAATGTTCAAGAGAAGCGATTGCTAGGTTTCCTATTACCTAACCTCTTTTAATTCTAAGTGACCATCTTGCTTGTGAGATCTGCCAGGCTGATAAGGTGAAGTTCACCCAACAGAAGCTGCAACACTGATAGCAGCTGTGAAAACTCTGTTAGGTGCCTTTCAACCAGGTGTGGAGAAACTCCCTCTTGAAATTAGAGAATTTTGAAACAAGTGAAGTGGCTTCAGGGGCTTTGCTGAACAGCTACTTGAATAATTAGGATGATGCCAGAAACATGGGCAGGTGCTTTCTGGGAACCTAAATTCAAAATAAATAGATTCTGTACCCTACTCAATGAAAATGACCATCAGCATGCTTATAAACAAATGGACCTCTTGCAAGGCAAATCAAATTTTAAAAGAATATTAGGATTTCTTCTCATAGTTATATTTCTCATACATACAGGAGGGAAACCTAGGTTTGAATAGCAAATAGGATTTATGAATCTGCTTAGTTTAACCTCATCTACACTGATAATGGCTTCACGCATATGAGTGGAAAATCACAGCTGCCTTCAGCAAGATCCAGATCCCCTCAGATGAAACTCTGAGTTGAGTCCAAGATTTGACTCTGATTTTGTAAGGAAGAACTGAGATAAAAGTAGTAAAATCATGGGAATTAGGGGTTAATTCATAAAAAATTAGAAACAGCTCAAGTAAATGTCCAAACAGGAAGATCCTGTTGTCTTTAGCAATGCATTACTTGGAAGTTTTGTAAAGTCAAATGAATGGAATGCAACTGATTTGGAAAATTTCTTTCAAAGAGAAGAAATAGGAGCTCAAAATAAAGAGTAAGACAAAGGAAGGTCTATCAGAACACAGGAAGTGTGATGTCAGTGACAGTGACATACACAATTTGTGTTTTAAAATAGCACCATCAAATGAATGAGTTATCTGCAAATCCCGACTGGTTTTCTGGCAACTGATGTTCTCACATAAACAAAAAAAAAAAAAGGGGGGGAGAGTTTTAGTATGGCAGAATTCTGTCTTTTATCAATAAATGTATCTACTTCTCCAATCTTCAAAGCGGAATGGCTTATTTTATAGTGCAGCAACAAAAAAAACTAATCAATGAAAGCAAAGAGTGATGTCACATAAATATCTTAACCATCCATTGTATTACAGGCTATAACTGCCACATATCACTCTCCCTGGGTTTTTTACTAGGAGATTCTGAAGGGGAGGAGCAGCGGGATGTTGTTTCCTGTTTCCTCTATAATAACAAGATTAAATGCTAGAGGTAATGTAGTGGGTTAATGGAAAATTGAAGAAAGAATGCTTAGGGTGAGGGGATAAAGTAAAAATTAGGGGGTTTAATTAGCTATGTATCAACTTCCAGTTTGTTCACAGCAGCAATCAGCTGTACTGTTTTGAAGGATGCAAGCCAGCCACCTGTGTGGTGGGACCTGCTCTCCAGTATTAGCAGTGGCTCTGGAGGACTCTATCCCTTTTTTCATGAGATCTGACACACTCAACACTTTAATTTAGACTTTACTGTAAATTTGAACAAAGACACATAGTGCTGTGACGTCTACCTCACCCTGATGGCTTGCTCTACTTAAAACAGCCTTTCTGTGATCTCAAACAGCAAGTTTTAAGCATGAGAAAGGCTTTCAGGACAACAAATCCTCTCTTTTTACAAATCCTTCTCAGAACAAGTATCTTACAGGGCCTCTCATTTCCAGTCATAGGATCAACAGTCTGAGATGGATAACAAATACTTCAAAACAGACTAATGTGCTTTGCTCCTCTCCCCACCCTCCTAGCTGCTCCAGCCCCAGGGGCTCACCACAGGTAGTTCAAGATAGGAACCACCACAAGCAGTGGTTAAAGAGCTCTTAATTGACATGCAACACCTCTCTAATAGAACAAGTTTGCACACATTTTTACTGAGAAGCTAACCAGTGATTAACATACTTGCTAGCAGAGATGCACCTCACTCTACTGGAGAACAATTGCAAAGGCTGTTGCCATTTAGTCCGCAGCTACTAAGGGAAGACATCAAACCATGCTTTCATATCTGTGAATTCATAGACTTGTAACTGATAGGCTAGCAGCTAAGACTCATCACAACATTCCCATTCTGAGAATGCTTCTTTCTTTATGATCTGCTACTACAATAACAGAGCCCACCCTGTTTCCTGTGCTTAATATGAGCCAAAGACTGATATCAACCATTTTCTCACTATAGAACTGTACTAAGTTCTTTCCAAGTTACTCTTTCATAATGAGGCCTCAAGAATGACCTTGTATAAAGTTTGTTATGTATTTAAGCAGCTAGAAAGAGAAGATTTAGCAGCTGAGACAAGGAGTTGCGAAGAATAAGATTTCTCCAGTGACAAGCAGCGTATACTGCTGAATTTCATATTTGATGTTTAGATACTCAGCAAGGAGCATATTTTCACTCCAGCATTTTGTTGTACCATTCGGAGCCATCCTTAAAAAGATTTAAGGAGCATTTTACACAAAAAAAAAAAAAAAAAAAACCAGAAATACCCAAGACTGCTTCCATTCAGATTAGCAGAACAGCTTCACCTCTCATCTGTCCTCCTCTTTCAGTGAGCTTCCTGAATTTATTGAACCTTCAGTGACAGACCTTAACTAATAACACATCGAATTACTATATGAAGGTCTGTAATAAATAGATGTCACTGTCAAATTTTAAGGTGAAGCAAATTTAGAGATAGTTCTCCCATTCCTATTTGGAGGCAAGTTGGCTGAGCATTTGCTCTGGGTCTGGTTACAATTTCATTTGATCTATTAGCAGGATAGAAAGAAAAAAAATGACAGGTATAACAGATGTTAACCTCCTCACCTATTTAACCACTAACTTTTTTAAACTAAATATAAAAACACCTAGGACTGTTTACACTGTTTTCATTTGCTATTAACATGTGAAAAAGGACAGCTCTGAATGATGTCTCATAACCTTACCTATTACCTATTGCATCAGACAAAACCTAATCTGCAGACTTAACACTTGTAAGTTTGAAATTTTTCCTGTAGAATTAAAATCTGAAACCTGCACGGAGATAGCAAGTGGGGCAGATAATCTATTAGGTTTATGTTCCTTTAGGCTACAGTTTTCCCTGTGATACCTTCCTTTCCAAGTTAAGAGTATAACGTACTACATTGCCAAGTGTGAAGAAGGGTGGCTGGAAACTTTTACTGTACAGGGAAAAGCTTGTCAATTTAATTGTCTGTAAAGCACAAACTGAATTTTCAAATTTTTTCTGTCAACCATTTTAATTAGAAGAAATCTCTCAAATGGAGCAGGATTTCGTGCTCAATGTCCCAAGGTTTATCTATTTTTTTTTTTTTTAACTCTTATAAGTAAAGAACTTGTGAATGTATAACACTTAACCTGGTTAGGAGTGAAAGTCTGTACAAAGTTGCTAATGAGGCTGGAATCTGGAAAATTGCTTCTGAAGAAAGAATTATAAAGAAAACTTCTAAAGGGCAATCTTAGAATCATAGAATCATAGAATAGTTAAGGTTAGAAAGGACCTTAAGATCATCAAGTTCCAATCCCCCTGCCATGGGCAGGGACACCTCGCTCTAAACCATATTACTCAAGGCCTCGTCCAACCTGGCCTTGAACACTGCTAGGGATGGAGCATTCACAACCTCCCTGGGAAACCCATTCCAGTGCCTCACCACCCTAACAGGAAAGAATTTCCTCCTTATATCCAATCTAAACTTTCCCTGTTTAAGTTTTAACCCGTTACCCCTTGTCCTACCACTACAGTCCCTGATGAAGATTCCATCCCCAGCATCCCCTATATGCCCCCTTCAGATACTGGAAGGCTGCTATGAGGTCTCCACGCAGCCTTCTCTTCTCCAGGCTCAACAGCCCCAACTTTCTCAGCCTATCTTCATACGGGAGGTGCTCCAGTCCCCTGATCATTCTCGTGGCCCTCCTCTGGACTTGTTCCAACAGATCCATGTCCTTTCTATGTTGAGGACACCAGAACTGTACACAATACTCCAAGTGAGGTCTCACAAGAGCAGAATAAAGGGGCAGGATCACCTCCTTCATCCTGCTGGTCACGCTCCTTTTGATGCAGACCAGGATACGGGCTGCAAGCTTACACTGAAGCCAGCTCATGCTCATTTTCTCATCAACCAGCACCCCCAAGTCCTTCTCTGCAGGGCTGCTCTGAATCTCTTCTCTGCCCAGCCTGTAGCTGTGTCTGGGATTGCTCCAACCCAGGTGTAGGACCTTGTACTTGGCATAGTTAAACTCCATGAGGTTGGCATCAGCCCACCTCACAAGCGTGTCAAGGTCCCTCTGGATGGCATTCCTTCCCTCCAGCGTATCAACCGAACCACACAGCTTGGTGTCATCGGCAAACTGGCTGAGGGCGCACTCAATCCCACTGTCCATGTCAGCGGCGAAGATGTTGAACAAGACTGGTCCCAACACCGATCCCTGAGGGACACCACTCGTTACTGGTCTCCAGCCGGACATTGAGCCATTGACCACAACTCTTTGTGTGCGGCCATCCAGCCAGTTCTTTATCCACCGAGTGGTCCATCCATCAAACTGATGTTCAAGGTGACTTTCATAAATGTATTTACTCTTCTTATTTGTTAGACTGTTTTATACATTTTTCTGTGTAGAATCAGAGAGGATTAGCCACCTAAGCCAGGCTGCCATCAGTCTCCCTTGGGACTGGGCATGAAACTGGGATAGTAAGGCTGGCCCCAGCTTCCAGTGCCAGAGCACTGGTTAAAATGAGATTCAAAGACCAGGACATGGTTTCAGGAGGCTTATTTCCTTCCTTTCCTCTCCAGGGCAGGTCCACCCACAGGATTTCTGAGCTCACCAACAACATCTCTTCAGCAGACAACAGCCCACCCAGTGTCTTTCATGGCTTCTTTTCCCTTTATGCAGAAGGAGCTTTTACACTGTGCTTAATGGCATCCAACCCAGCACTTCTCAGAGCTGCCCTCCCCTGTGGAGAGCCAAGGGCCAGGGCTTACAAACAATAATGTGTAGCCAAGAAAGTGGAGTAGGACCTAAAGGTCCATACTACTTCTCACAGTATGCTTCCACTGTGTCCTCTTAAAGGTTTACTAGATGCCTACATCTCCAGCACTGAAAGCTGAGTGAAAAGTGAAGAAAGATTTGGCCAGGTCTAAAAAACTTTAAGGTAGATGTCCTGACTTCAAAGGAGAGTGATTAATAATAACGAAATGATATGCCCAAGAAGTCCTCTGATGCCTTGCTATCTATCTGTCACTATTGTGTCAGTGTTAAGGACAGATTAAATCTCTGTTAAAAAGGTACAGGTCTGTGCTTGTATATACGTACACGTGTGTGCATGTATGTTTGTATGTATGAAAGTATACAGCTCCACTGATGGATAAGCAAACACCACTAAACCCCTGATTCTCCTTTATCTCTCCCTTCCACATGGCCACCACTTCCCCACATACTGCCTTTCACCTCCCTCTGCTCTAGCTGTGTCTCACCTGGGTTATAATCGCCTTCACGCCTGGTCCACTTCCTCCCATGCTCACCTCTTCCAGCTTCACTTTCTCCATTCAGCTCCCTCAATTCAACCTGAGGAATGCACATCATATTCCCCAGCTCCTGCCACAAATCCCTTTTGTATGCTTCTCCCCTGATACCTGAGCACTTCTCTTGTTTGACAGAGCCAGCTGTGAAGATGACAACCATCTCCCCCACCAGCTGTTAGGATCACAGCTGGCATCCAAATCAGGTATTGAGGCCAGCAAATTGTACCTCTGGCACCTGCGGTGCCCACAGGGGGCCCTGGCCCCTGGGACTGGCAGAATAGGAAGCTTCAGCACCCTCATGCCTTGTCAAACTTCTTAGTACCAGCTGGGCTGTGTATGGCCCCCCATCCAAGAGCAATGCCTCACCTGACTTCCTCCATACTTCTTTTTTCCTATAAAGCAGATAACTGCTAGGATAAGAGGGAGCAGAAACGAGGACAAGGAATTTTTATAATTACATCTGCCTTTGGGGGAATTTCCTCTTTTTAGATTACAAAACTGTTGAATTTCCAGAATAGCTGACTTCCACTTCGATATGCACATTTCTCCTTGCTTTATCAAACTCCATTGTTTTGTATCTCCCACCTCCTATGTGATGTTTCCTTGGTGCTTTGAGTGAGCCATCATTTTGATTTTCCATTTACTTGACTATGGTGAGGAAAGTGAGCCCAGTTTGAAATAATATTGCTGAGAAATCTGGATGGTAAATATAGCGGTTTACATTTTTTGGAGTAATACTACTTTACTAGCAGGCAACTTCTTTAAACACTCATTTTCCTATTTTATCTTTTCCAGTTCACAATTTGGACAATCTTATAATATCAATCTCGAAATATAAATGCTATGCTACAAGCTACTGAACTAGAGAAAAGAAGAAATGAAGTGAACAAACAAAACCCCAAGGGTAAGTCTCAACACAGCGGCAAGCTTCAGCATGGACCAGAGATCTGGGAGTTCTATGAAGTACAAAAGCTTAAAACAAAACAAAACAAAACAAAAACCAAAACAAAAACAAACAAAAAAAAAAGCAGGGGGAAAAAAAAAGGAAAGAGAAAAAGAGAAATGAAAACATAGGAAAGCAGTAGAGTGTGATAGTTAAAATGATATATAAATGATATATACTGATATATTTAAGACCACATTTAACACGCCTCAGGCCAGTGGTTGGGAGTTACTGGTTTACTGTAATAATTCTTTTAAAAAAGACTGGAGATGGCAATCACTGTCAGCGCCTTTAGACCCCTCAGCAGACACAGAAAAGCAAACATTGTGACATCATTTTCAGAGCCCTTTTCTACCACCAAGCAGGCACAAAGGTAGAATAATCTCCTAGCAGGAATAATTATGACAGAGGGCTCAGGTGGGGATTAGCCCCAGCCCTGCAAAAGCAGAGCATATAGCTATGCTGACAAAGGAAAGACAGCAAAAATCCAGCTGGGATCCCCCAGGCCAGAATGTGCCCTGTGGGATGACAAGAAAAGCAAGACAATGTTGATGAAGGGACTGATGTTAAGTAGTCCCTGAAATAAGATGGTAAAGATAAGCATGACAAATTGCTCAATCTTCTAGTGGGCAATCAGGTAAAACTTTCATTTTTTAAGCATATCCATGCAACAGTTCTCACATTACAGCCCTTGAGGAGTCAGGGATTACCTGCTAGTTAATTTTCTTACAGGAAAGATTTCCCACTGTGCCAAGAAACTGTGTGGTCTGTGTTAGTGCTGGCCCAGTGCTGTTCAAGAGGAAGAGGTTACTGATCACCACTGCTATAGAGGGGCAAGTATTATCTCACTGCTTTCATGAAAAAAATTGGTCAGAAGAGAATGTACTGTCACAATCTAGCCCTGGCATCCAGGGCAGAAGGAAAGACTGTAAATTCATTCCCTGGGACTAACCATTGCAGTGTCAGAGAAGGGTGTGCTGAGAAAGTAAAATTTGCAATTAAAATTATCTTATAAATAACCTCTCAAAAATAAGGGGCCAAGTTACAATATTCTAATCAGGAATAGCCTGTGCCTGTCTCGCTGACATCCTTTACCTGCCTCACTCACAACTCAGAGTTACCCCCAGAACAAGGTACGATTGAGTCTGAGTTAGAATTTCTGGAGCCCTAAGAAAATACCACACAGGAGCTAAGCAGCAGCACGAATTTCAAAGTCTGTGTGCAGAAGGAATGCTTTTTAAGTAGCATGATTAAACTAATTAAGCTCTGTTTAGATTTTAATTTGCATTTTAAGGATTTGATTACCCACCAGTAAGGAAAAAGATTGATCCTCTCGTGTATTTTATGACAGTATGTGACACAATCTGCACCCTGATGTTTACAAATACATAAAAACATATCTAAATTTTATTATGTTTTATTCCATATCATTGCTATCATCAGCAGGTAATTAACAATGTTGGTTATTATTCCCAATAATAACACTATCTCTTACTCATTTTTTCATTCTTAGAAAATTTCTTTCATAATCCCTACTGTACCACTCCAAATTTTAACTGTGACCAAGAGACATAATCCATTTTTAATTGAGATTCAATTACCCCTTTTTTCATTAAATTAAGCTGCAAGTATATGACTGCTGTGCATCAGAACAGGCATACCTGGAAATTAACAAAAAAACTATCCACATGAGTTTCAGAATTACTGGGGGGTTCCCCATAGGCCTTTAGTATCCTAATATGTTGCTGAGTATATAATTCTATTAAAACATCAATTGTATAAATCAGAGAATATGAATTAACATATTGATAGAAGATTATGTAGATTTGCCTTTCGTCTACTCACTCTGTTTTTGGAACTTCTTTTCTAAGCCAGTAGAAATCAGATTGAGCTGCATATTTGCGAGTTTGCAACACATTGCCAAAATAGTCACTTTCTGTAAACTTCAGCTGTACAGACAAAGCACAGGCATTTTTAAAGCACATCCAAGGAAACAAAAGCTGACAGAAAACAAACATGACTTTCATTTTGAACAACGTAATCACCTAATTTTTTAGCCATTATCAAAGCAAGTAAAATGTTTACAGTTGGTAAAAGGAAAAAAATATTATGTTAGCTTAGTTAAAAAACAGTGGCTGAACAGATCTACAAAAGGGAATGGAACATTGGAAAAGCTCTTCCCTGATCAGAGAGGAGCTGAGGAAATCTGAAGTGCCCAATGATGAACTGCAGACAGCACATTTCTATGGCTGTTATTAAGACAACCTCTTTTCCAGAAGGAAATAGGTTTACTTTTATTTTTAAAAGTGCATTTTGAAACCACTTTTTAAAAAAAGTAAAAAAGCCCACTTTTTCAGTTCATTTTGCATTTCATTAAAATCCTTCATACTCTGTACTCTCCAACAGTTCTGCCACTGCTTTCTTACTGTTTCATATATTAAATATTTACAGACATAGGACTCCATGCTTCCATAAACCTCCAAATCTAACAACAACCATTACACATGCACACAATTAACCATGCAAGAAAAGGGGAGATGATATCCTTGTCACCAGTTTCAGTCAATCCTGGGACTTGTAAGGATGCGGCACTTCAGATGTAAACTCTGGTTTTGCACCCATGATTAACAAGTGTTTTTCACTAGACATTACTACTTATCTAGGCAAAAAGATCTGCACAATGAGTGATAAAGTTGGTCACACCCTCTCTCTCATTACACTGCCTTCACAGCACCATCTTACTCTGCTCTTTCCAAGAACAAGTACTAGGTTGGTAGAGTTAGTTCTTCAAAGTTTTCTGAATAAATTATGCCTCTATCTAGTGTCTGTTCATGTTCTCTGGCTAAGATGACTAGCACTCTTGTACCTTAGCAGTTCAGGATCAAGTTGTGATTCTACTTTGTCTGTAGAATAAAATTAAGGACATGCATGCCACATTTTGCCCTTTGAAAAATGGTAAAATATATTATTGTTCATCATCTGCCTTCCTGCCTTGGTTAGGCTGAACAGATAGTGAGTCAGGAAGGAGTGCCTCCACAGTATCCTTGTCCAGCAGCCAGCACACTAGGCCTATGCGTTGGTTAGGACCTCTAGGTACACTTATAAGCAACAACCATAAAAAAATTCCATAGCCTGGAGAGGAGATGGGCATCATAAATTGTGATATTTTAAGAAAATATGCATTACTATTTTTGAAGACCATTACTTTGAGGATAAATGCTTTTGGTTTGCTTCATTTATATAAGTAATTGCAAAATTTATGGCTGTGTATTCTTAACCTTTAAAATGCTTAATAGCAGTAAGGTTCTTTGCACCCAGGCACATTTTATTCCCAGCAGGCCTCATGGTCATCTCACTTAGACAGACAGGGGTCAACAATTTAGACATTAGAGCTAGCATGCTTAATTCAACATCTAAAAATAACCAGGGAAGCAGAACTCCAGATGCACGCCAAACAAAAAAGAAGCTTTGATTCTTTGATTAGCAGTGAAACAGAGCAAAGAATGGATGCAACATGTAAAAGATGGATGCAATACGTAAAAGAAGAAATCTGCAAGTCTGACACTTACTGTTTTGATGTCTTCATTAATATATGTGTCATTCATTATAAACTGAGGGTAACCAACTTTTGCCATAACTGCCTTTGCCTTTGAAAAAATTAAAAATAAAACAAAGTGTTGGCAGATATAACTATTTCTCAGCCTATGGCTTTTCTTTTCCCCTCACCAACCACCCAGCATCTTTGTGGAAACAACATATTTCCAGAACAAAAGCAGCAGGATACAAAATGGTAAGGCAACTACCAAGAAGTCGAATATTACAAGTTCAAAGAATAAATTAAAGACATGGTGGACTAAAGGTAGCACAAAGGGGTAGCACAAAGCTTTTACTTTGTATGTTTTCAGGATGCTGAATATAATTTCTGCTGAATTCTTTGGAATTCTCCTCTCCACTCAAAAATAGCTCTTCTGGAAATCTGTTCTTCAAACTCAGTGTCATGGTTTAGCCAATGCTAAACCCAGGACACTCAGATGTCTAAACTCAAATGAATATGAATTTAAAATTTGGAATGGGACAGCAGGGATTATGAAAGAAATTTTCTAAGAATGGAATCATGAATAAGAGATAACGTTATTATTCAAGATATGAAGTGCTATAAATGGACAGGTCTTTAAACCAACTGCAGCCATACCAACCCTGCATTCTGCTCTCTGCAGGCAAAGCTTGAACCTCTCTGGGGTCCACTAACTTCTCTTTCCCTCTTGCTGCAGCAAATGACTGTTCAAGGGATGATCCCCCTGGAAGATCTCCCTTCCTGCACAATGAAATTCTCACTCTCTTCTCCCCATCCAGACTGTCTCAGTACAAGAGGGCCTTCTATGACAGGAAGAATTAGAAATGTTTGTTCCATGACTGTAAAAAGGAAGCTCATGGAGGATTGCCTTCATTTAATCAAAATTATTTTGTCCCTTCCTTTATTTTTCAAGAAGGCCTCTTTGCTTCATCAAACTTCAATTTCTTAATTGCATTTCCAACCCGAAGTCATAATCCTCCATTTGTGACATCACAATTAATTGTGGTTGAGATAATTAAGATGTCATAAACAGAAGATTACAACTTCAGGTAGGCAATTAGCAGCAGGAGCAGATGATCTCTTAAACAAGAAAGATCCCATTGTCATGCAAATGTCCCTAGTGATAAAAAAAAAAAACAATGGAAGACAAATGCTGAACAGGAAATATGAAACAAGCCAAATTAACTTGCAACACATTTTCTCAATTTTCCAGAAAGTAGAGCATTTTTCAAGATATTTTAAGTCCCTGGGCTGGGGATAAAAAGGTGGTAGTGGGGGAAAAAGCACAGTTCATCTGCAAGTCTGTATATAATCAAGAGTGTCTCTTTTTTTCCTGATGGTGTTGTCAGGTCCAGCTGACTGAACTTTGCAAGGAACTGGAAAATTTCCTTTTCCATTTCCAGTGCTTCAATCCTAGTTGCAACTAGTCTTGAGAAAGCAAAGAGCAAAGCTCATCAGTTTTAGTTTCTACTAAATCAGCTGCTTAAACAAGTCTGACGAATCTCTAATATTCTCCGAGTGTTCCCAAGTACCCATCTGAATCACAGTAGCCTCTGTGTTGGGTCTACTTAATTGAGCCCCTTCACATTTTGATTAAACAGATTTAATCTAAACCCCAACTTACATGATGAAAAGCAAACCCTCTAAAAACAATTTATAGCACAACTTGTGAAAAATCATGAGAGTCTTTTAAAGAAAAAGTAAGGATTATGTGTGTCCGTATATTTCATTAATAATTTAGCCAGTACAGTGTCGATCAAAAATTATCGATTTTTTTTTTTCTTGGCACATAAAAGAACATTTTTGAGTTTGAGCTGTGTTATGTCATTTAAAGGCACTCTTAATTTCTTCCTGTCTTCCAAATAAAAGCTCTTGGACTGTCTTCCGAATAAAAGCAAATAAATTCATGCCTCACTGGCTGTAAACACAGAGGACTATGAAGGCAGCCTAGATCTTGCAGTGCTTCTTTGTTGAAAGAAGCAGAGATGGGCCCTTCCCTGAAACGCATGGTGCTAGCTGTTTGGTTGTGACCACACTATGTCCATCCCCACTTCACTGCATGAACATTTTTGGTTCTTTGTGGAATATCTGCCACATCCATCTGGATCTCTTCTACCACAGCAGATTCTTCCCACAGGCTTTGCATGAGGCCCAAGCCTATTCAGTCAAGCCCAGCAAACAGCCCAATTTACACAGTAGACTAGTTAGAAAGCATTGTATTAAGAGCAGGTTTCTAAATTTTCATATTGGATATTGCTTACTTTGCTCTTTTCTGTTCACTTGTGTAATATTTAACAGCATTTCAAAGACTCATTCATACAGCACAAGCAAGTAGATAACTCTTCTACAACTGGCTTGCTCTTTGATAATGAATTCAGTATTTTCCCCTTGATAAGATTAAAAGTATGTTTAAGAGGCTGCCCTTCCAGGAGGTATGCACATGCATACAGGGAAAGCAAATGAAATGTGACAAATGTACAAGAACCAGCCGTGAGGTAATTGCACATGAATCCAACATAAATACACAGTGAGCAACTTTTTTATGGTTTAAAGGCTCATTTAATTCCTTTCTCTAATTTGCATATTAAATAACCATGTGTACAGGAAGAAAAGAGGTGATGGGGTTCTCCCCCCAGCTATTATTAAGTAGTCAGCCTACCTTAGGCTGTCGAATAAATTAAGAAAACTCATCACTGCAGGCTTCCTCCCCTGCCACTAAAACCAACAGGCTCTTGCAGGGGGTGACGCAGAGAAGCAGTGTGCTTTAGAGTAAGTCATGATAACTGTTTTCTATCCCAGCATCCAGAGAGAGCAGGCTTCATGGCAGAAGACTCAGAGTGGGACTACTCCCTCTACCGCTAATTACGCATGGAAGTTTCCCCGCAGATTTGCACACAGTTAGGATTTCATCATCAGTATGTCTTTCTGGCAGGATGAGAGCATTGCAAGTCAGTTTACTACAGACACAAAATAATAAACGACCTTTCACTTTTGACTTTATAACTTGCCAACGTGGGAACGCACACGTTTTTTAATGCTACAAAGCATCCCAATTTCCAGTCTGGTTGAATTTTCACTTGACAACCAGGCTTGGCATGTGAGCCTTCTGACAATCAGAATATAATTTGGGTATTTTATAGGCCTGCTAGCAACATCACTTACTGACGTATTGTACTTGCTGTAAAAAACCCAAAGTAAATCAAAACAAAACATATATCTCACCCTGACAAAGTTTTATGAGTCTGACACAGATCTTCTGTATATCAACTTGATTCACAATAACTTTGTGAAGATAATTTTCAAGCTTCTAAAAATATAAAAATTTAATACAATTACAGTTCACTGAAAAATTAGCATGAAATACATTCTGAAAGCTAAAATAATTCACAGCAAAGTAATGTTCCATTTAATTACAAAGATTAATTCAGCCTTTATGTACGTGTCTGGTCTTTTCATTTTTCATTGAAAACAGATGATTCAAGAGCCATCTGCTAAAACTGCTGCATAAATATCACTGCATCTATGTAGGTTTTATGTATAGAAAAACTAGAAAAATAAAGTGCAAAATACAGAAAACTGTAACTTGGGCTAAAGCCCGATTCTACAGATATCAGTAGGAAGTGACCCACTGACCTGAGTGAGAGATGGACTGGGCCTGCCTTAATGGTGTGTACTATTTCATGCATTCATATGCAGGAGCCACATAAAATGTCAGGGACTTGCACATCATCAACTGCAATCAAAAGTGAAACGGCAACTCAAATATGAACACTTGGCCTAAAATGGTTGTTTTTAAGAGTGCCTGACCTGCAGTGAACTGACTGTAATCCATACTCCAGAACATAGCTAATCATAAAACTACTTATTGTTAAACTTTTGCTTTAACTTTTCTCTTATATTTGCATATCACAACAATGTAAGGTCTGTAGACTTCTCACGATTTACAGACTTAGCTTTTCATTTACTAATAATTCACATACCACCACCTCACACTGCACCATAACCCTCCCCTCTGTATTTCAGTAATTGGTTTTGATGTTCTAAATTAGTCTATTATGAAGATGGAAAATACAGCTATCATTCCACTCTTGTAATAGCTTTAGGCTAGGGGTTAAAGACAGACAGACAGACAGACAGACAGACAGACAGATAGATAGATAGATAGATAGATAGATAGATAGATAGACAGATAGATAGATAGAGATAGATAGATAGACAGACTTATGTGAATAATCACACTCATCACATACACAGAAGGCTGTTTTCAGTAAAACATACACTGTGGTTTTAAAAGTAGTTGAGCCCATCTGACAGCTTTGTCTTGCCAAATGAAAAAAATATGTCCTAGTCCTTGCGCTTCTCCCCTGCTCTTCACATCTCTCTCCATGTTTCCGCTTACCCACAGCCTCCAAACACTGCCTCAGCTCTCGCCACATCTTTCTGGGACACTGTTTAGCTCACTAACACAGCATAAATCCATGCAAGTTCTTCCCCAAGCTAATTTTCTGACAGATCAATGAGCTGAATCCCTCACTACACAGGGAGACCCAGCAACTGTTGGAACTAGTACAAGTGCTCAGAACATATAATGTGGAAAACTGGGGAAGGAACAGCAAATGAGTTGTGTGTTACATCAGCTACTTCTTCGTCTTCATCATCTTTTGAAACCAAAGCCTCATTCAAAGAAAACCTACCGAGAAGAAAATATTACCTACTGCACTTCAGAATACCATACCATACATTACCATCCTAGGAAACAAAGGTGAAAGAGACAAAATTTTCAGAGCAAACTGTTGGTTGGGATTGTATATTCTGTCTTAATATCCACAATTAGACGATAAATGACAATATTATTATTACTAACCATAAAGTTGCAAGCACCTAAAAGTTTACTAGGGCTGCCATGCACAGAAGACTGAAAAGCAACAGTACACATCAAAATGTCACTCTTCCCAGCCCCAAATCCCTTTTGCTTCTGGCTTTCAGTGGTTCAAGCACTATGATGACAATTTCACTGGAATTAAACTTTCAGTTTAAACTAATCCTGTATTTTATTTTTTTTTTTAGCAATAG